TAGGCAGGGCCCTTTATCTCATTCGGTATTCAAACCCCAGTTTCCATCATTTTTCCGTATTTCCAGTGAGAAATAATAGTCTGGAATGAGTTTTATTTGATGAGATTTACAGAGTCCCGCTCTTGGATTCTCGGTGCAGGAAAGCCAGGGAAGAACTGGAGGGGAAGAACTTCCCCGGAGGCGGCAGAGCCCTGGGAGCGTTTTGGGTTCTCCCTGCCCGGAGCCATCCCAGCCCCACCGGGATGTGTCCCTGTGTCCCTGCTCCAGGGGCAGGGCGTTGGGCTGGGGGAGCTCCAGGGCTCCCTTCCCACCCCAAATGCTCTGGGACTCTGCAAAGGACAAAAATTGTTGGAATCATTTCCATTATTGCAGATATTCCATTCTGTGGAATTCCATTCTGTGGAATTCCAATCGTTGGAATTCACATTTCTGTTATTGCAGGTACTCCATTCTGTGGAATTCCATTTGTTGGTGTTATTACAAGGATTCCATTCTGTGGAATTCCATTTGTTGGAATTCACATTTTCCTTATTGCAGGGATTCCATTCTATGGAATTCCATTCATTGGAATTCACATTGCCTTTATTGCAGAGACTCCATTCTGTGGAATTACATTCTATGGAATTCCATTTGTTGGAATTCACATTGCCTTTATTGCATGGACTTAATTCTGTGGAATTCCAATCGTTGGAATTCACATTTTTGTTATTGCAGGGATTCCATTCTGTGGAATTCCATTCTGTGGAGTCCCATTCCTTGGAATTCACATTTCCCTTATTGCAGGGATCTGTTTTTACCGTTCTGGAAGAGGAAGCCCTGGAGAAATCCTGGCTCTCCTGCTGCCCTCATCCCAGCATTTGGGCATGTGGAACCTGTGGAACATTCCCAGCATGTGGAACATCTCTGACGACTTCACAGAATCATCAAATAACAGAATAATTTGATCAGATTTCTGTTGTTTTTATTTTTTTTAACCCTTTAGACACCAGGCTGCTTCCCAGCTTGGTTAAACCCAGCTGCAACCCAGGTTTGGGGTCCAGGGAGAAAAGTGAAGTCACGGTTCACAGTGCCTGTGGTCACAGAGGAGGTGACAAAATCAACCATAAATATCTAAATTTGGGGCTGGGTATACTCAGGGGACACTGGGTGCTGCAGGTGAAACGTAAATTTTAAAGAATTTAGAGATTTTAGAGGAGCTAAGATTTTAGTTAGAGATAAGCCTCACTAGAGTTAATTAAAATAAATGAATAGGCCTTGATGAAGTTAGGAGTTAGTAGTTAACTAATAACTGATTGCTTGTCAGCACAATGTTGAGTTAGCTGGGTTTATAATGAAGAATACACAAACTGACAAAGAGCTTTTAGGAACATCAGACAATTGTGGCCTCCTCTGTTCTGAAACCAACTGGAGACAAGGAATGGGAGTTCTACCAAGAGTTCATTTGTCATATTGGCATTGAAAAGGTGGAAAGGTCAGAAGGAGGAAGACTTCATTGACTTCCTCATTTTGGG